ACAAGCAAGCTGCGTTCGCCGATCAAGCTGTTCTCTATGGGCCAGACGAGCAGCAGCCGTTCTATCTGAGCCCGCCCATTTCCGGAGCCAGGCATACCAATCTTATTCTCGACTTCACGGACGAGCGCCTGGAGCTGATCTTCTTCGGGGCGATCTGGGCCTTCCGCAAGCTCTTCACCAACGCAGGCATCCAAGGAAGCTATGCCGGAGAGGGAAGCAGTGAATACTTCAGGGTGCACGCCTTGGACTACAGCCATGTCACGTTCGAGGCTGAGAACATCCTCCACCTTCTGCAGAACGTCCTTGCCGGCACAATGTGCCGCGTCGTCCTACGCACGCCTCCCACGGCAGCTCAAGACGTGCCGGTTCCTCGCCTTCGCCTCGCCGTGATGTCCAGCTCGGGCAGCCATCCCGCTGCCATTTTGACCCGTGGCCCGGCTCGACAACCTTGCCTGTCGCTTGCTGCGTAAGCCAGCGCGCGAGGGTAAAAAAAAGCTGTGCCAGGTACCTGTCCAGTGAGCAATAACAACACAAACATGCATGGCAACATGTCGTGCCACCAGCTAGGCGTGAACGCGTGGCCTTTCCTCCAGCTTCTGACACATGAAGGGCACGTGGCTGCAAGGTCAGTTTGTTACCTTACACTTGCAAGGGTTCTGTAACAAAGAGACCGGGCAATGTCACCATATGCCACAGCCTCGAGCTTCGGTCCAGCAGCCAATTCTTCCCCAAGCAAGTTCCTTGCTGTTTGTTGCGGCGCCGCATTGCCCCACGTCCCCAGCCTGTTGACTTTTCCCTGCTTGGGACAAAACTACTAGCGACTTCATTTCCAGTCCTGCCAAATGGGCTGGGTTGTCCCAAGTTTCGTGTTATTCGAGCCACCCCGCCCCTTTTATCCAGTGCAAGCATTCTCGCGGAGCCGTGGTGAGAGCGAGCCCTGCGCATTGAATTCCTGTCACTGCCCCAAGTCACGCGGAGCGGTTCGCCTGGGGTATCAGGGCCCTTCTACATTGCCGTTTTTTCGGCTCTATCTGTTGCCTTTTGGATGACCCTGCTGACCACTTCATTCCCAGGCCTGTGACATTGGCTGCGTTGCCCCGCGTTGTGTAGTTTCATGGCGCTCAGCCCTTCCACATGATGGGCCTGAACTGCCGTCCTTCCTATTGCTATGTACACACCAACTGTTGATACGTGAAATCTGCGGTCGAATTTTCAGATCGGCGCCCAGCTGAGAGAACGACCATCCCTGTTGAAGACCCGCTTGCCCTTTGCAACCCTTTAATCTTCAAAGGAAACTCTGCTGCCCCGAAGAGTGCTGTAAGGCAATAGGTCGGAAGCCCCTGCCGTTCTGTGGTGTCCCGTAATGTCAGGGTCTGCAAGGAGACGCCATGCTATGCAACTTCGTGTCCGGTCCTATGAAATTGGTTAGGTCATGCCAGCTTTTGCGGCTCTTCGGCCCCCACCCCTTCGCACCAATGTTGTGACACCATCTCTTTGTCGTTGCTGAAGTATGCCCAGATTCTTCCAGCATTTCATCATCACGCTTGCCATTTCCGATTGTGGTGCCGAATCACATGGTTGATAAAAGCTTGCCGTTTCCGATTGTGGTGCAGAATCGCATGGTTCATAATGTTGCCGCTGTTCATGAAGGTCCAGCATCCTACCAACCCAGGCAACAATCCCCAAGAAAGGGCTTGCTTTTTGGTTCTTCTCCTCCGTGCAAGTTGTGTCCAGCACGTGCGGCCCAAAGGGGCACTCCGAACCTTCCATGTAACAGCAGCCTTTGCAGAACCTAGGCGGAATGGCATTGACTCCTGGACGGCTGAGTTCACAGCAGCCACCAAAAGCAGCCCATTTTGCAAATTACTGGGAACTTGGAATCACCCAAGCAACAATACATTGTTAAACAAAGAATACCAACACGACATCCTGGTAAAGCAGGAATTCCGATGGAGAAGGCCTGGCGCATAAACGCTGCCCCTGCATGGCACATGAGAGCTTTGGTCAGATTCTTTATCTTCCGCGTCGCCTATGATCAGCGACGCTCCTACGACTACGCTGAGTACCCGCATTTGCAGGAGTTGCTCACTGATGTTTTCAAACCAGCGGTGGTGGGCGGGCCTGCTACCTGGAAGGCCCATGAGCCATTGACCTTTGGCGAACTCTTGGGCTCTTGCAGAGTGAGCTTCTTCCACTCCGATCCCACGACGTTGTTGGCCACCCAGATTTTGGAACAAGCCACGAGGGGCAAGCTGACAACTTTGTACATGCTTGCACTGTGCTCATCAAGATCATTTGCAAGGGCCTCCTTAGACAGCGAGGCGGCGAAACAATATTCGTCCCTGAGTCAGCGTTCGCAGCGAGTCTGGGCACGTATGCGCGGCATGGGCATCGCCCACATGCCACCCGACAGCACCAGAGAAGCATTTCGCTCCTCTGTCTGAATTGTGTTTCCTACTTTTGGCCGGGTCAACCACGGTATCCCCTTGGTTCAAGCTACGGAGGGCAGCCCTCTGCCCTTTGAGAATGTTTCCAGAATTAATTCGCGCGTCGTCCGTCGGGTTCGGGGTTCGAGGCTGCCGAGGAGGCTAGTGGGATTCATCTTTTGGAAAGTGGGGTTGCCACAGCCACGCGTTGACATGCTAGGGAAAAGTAGAACCCTGCCAAGACCATGGTGAGGTTTCCTGATTTTCCAAATACTAAGCCTGTTGAACCGGGGTATCGCCCTCTGATTAGTGTACCAGTTCGACAGACCTTTCTCCTATTCGGGAGGAACTGTCTCCTGGCAGCCATCTCAAACCATTCTGAGGTGCGAAAGCTTCACGAGCCGCTTTGCCCCTCAGTGTCGCTGGCGGAATCAACTTTGTCGTCTGCCAGATCTGAAAGCACACCGTGCCTTTTTGAGGAACATCACGCGGAGACCAAAGCACCTTCAGATGAAGGAAGGCTCGCATGGCCGCCGCAAGAGCAAAAAGGCTGTGTACTCTCAAATGTTGAAACTCCGATGCGTGGGCCCCTTCCTGGCGAAGAACATGATGCACCTGTGGAAGAAGAGTTCAAAACAACGCCTGTTCCCGGACGACAAGACGTACTCAGAGCATGGCCCTGGCGCAAGGGCAGCGATCAACGTTGCACGCCAGTGGCCTCCAACAGCAAACCTGTACTCCAGCAGCGACTCTGCTAGACAGATATACAACCAGTGCTGCGATGATTGGCGCAGAAAACGGCAGTGCTTCGCCCGCGTGCGAGCGACCCACCTGAGGTTCGCCAGGCAAAGGCCACACTGAAGCGTTGCCTGTCCGATCCGGAGGATTTCCAAGTTATGCTGTGCGAATACCATAAGCTGATCACCTTCACGGTGTCCCGCCACCGCTCTTACTTGCGCTGACAAAAACAGGCTGCAGCGGGGACAGTGCCTTCTTCACTGTCTCTCAGTTATTCCGTCCAGCTCGCGACCCCAACAGCTGTGCCCCAAAGATGTACTCATTTCGGTTCCCTTCTTGGAAGGCAGCTTCGTTTTGTTTCGCGCCGGTCGCGACCTCTTCACTGGACATGACGAAAGGAGACACATGTCTGTGCCCGGGCGCGACCCTCCAAACCACTCGCGCCTGTTCAACATTGCTTTGGCAACAGTTCTTCAACCTGTTTTTTCTGACGAAACTGCACCCGACTTTATGCCCGTACCCCTGAAACTGGCCGAGTGGGCCCACGTTTTCTCCTTCTTTGGGCCCGTGCCTGTCATGAGTCGCTTGGCAGTCAACTGTTTCTCTGTCGTGGTTTCGTGGCAGGAGTCTCGCTTGGAGACGAACATTCTTCTTGCGAGAAGTTGTTTTTCAAACTGGACAGAAGTTACTCTTGACACTAGGGCTTGGGGAACATGTCGATTGGGATAAATACTTCAGCCTGAGAAGAACTACCCGTTGAACCCAGTGCTTGGGGAGAGGAGTTCCTTTTGAAAGCCATGCTTGGGACCATGACTGTCCGCTCAAACGCCTTCAAAGAGCCAAACAGGCGGCTCCATCAGGGAAGTAACAGTTCAGGTGCTTCAGAGGGGTGACGACTTCACGCGCCGTGTTTGTGTCACGGGTCGCGCTCTAGTATATATATATATACATAGGTATTTACGTGTCTATGTGATACAACATCTGTAGATATGTCAACACGCGGGTGCCCCTCCTTTTGCAGCTTTATGTTAGTGACATTAGCCTCATTTTTCAGACCAGTTGGGGTCACCAGAAAGGGTATTAGACATCCAAATAAAGTCCTGGATCCATGATCCAAAATCCCCTATTTCGGTGGGACTTGGATCCTGGAGCCCCTGCAATCCAAAGAGCGCAACAGCAATATAGACTGGTCAGAAATTGTTTTTTTCAATATATATATATATATGTGTCAGGAAACACGTAATTTGGTTTGGTTGAACTGCAAGGATCACAAGATGGAGCACATAACCAGCCATGATAAAGTCTGATAAAGCTTCCGGGCCTGGTTTATATCTCTTGACTGGGGAAGCTCACTTGCTTGCCTGATTCCAGTCTGCAGAAGTAAACTTTACAAGATTTCTTTTTGAAGACGTCCTGCTAGGTGGAATGCTTTTCCGAGCCAGAAGTGAGAATTTGCAGATCTGTCCAGCAATTTTCAGGGCTGACGAAATGGACTCAGAACCTTATATCATGTCAACAACGCTAGACATTAGAGCAGCACACACTACCCTTCACACGCACACATACAATGATATGGACTCGTGTTTGGCCACCCAGCCTGCCAACTCAATAACCCACGGCTGGAAAAGGAAAGCGCGTTTGTCAAACGCTCGTGGGCATACTACAGCCTGAATTAATTTCTTAAATATTTGTATTGCGCACTCTCAGCTCCAATGGGGGCTGGCCTCTCCGCGGCCATCCGCACATTTTTTGTTGGTTGATTCTCTTTGCCACAGCGACGGCTGTCTTCCCATCTCCTTTCGCCGCGCGGATGCGCGCTTGATTGAGCAAGCCAAGGCTGTCCTTGCGAGCCGCGGGCCGGGTGAGGAAGGCGGGGGGAGGTCTTTGGGCCATTGGGGCGCTCAATGAATTTGGTCCAAGTCCTATGGTGAGTTCTTTCCAATTCATGCTTTTTATTCATGACCTTGGTGTTGCGGTAAGTTCCCAGTCCTGACGGATATGTCACTATGTCCATCCAGTTTCTTTCTAATTTCATGCTGTTGGCCCTGCAGCATGCTTTCTTTGGCCATGTTCGTTCACTGGGAAGCAGGGTTGTCCGGATGTTGGAATCGGGCTGTGCCTTGGACCTGCTGCATGCGCCACAGATTTCGCCCCTCCAACCGAAGCTTTGCTTGACGCAACATTATCATGATCATGTATAGTAGACAGCAAGCCACGGTTGCCGTCTCTGTGCAGAAAGAGAGAGCTTTTGAGGGCGATGCAACAGCTACCAAACATGCCAGACACTGGCAAACCTCCTCCCAACCCAACGTGTCTGTGTGTGCGTGTGTGCGTGTGTCCACCAAACGGGGTTGCGAAACGCTGAGCGGAAGAAGCTGTCCATGAACGATTTGTAAAACTATCACCCGCGAGTCAGGCACTTTCGTGCCTTGATGATACCGTTGGGGACTTTAAAGTGATATTTTTGGTGGTAGCGGTAGGTGGGTTCTACCTGATAGTAAGGCGGGTCCGGCCTTGCTTTCAAAAGGAAGGTTGTAACCCAAGGAATCTAAAGGCGCTTCCCTTTTCAGGTCCCTTTTCAAGTCCTCTTTGGTTCTTTAGGGCTAAACCATGTCCTCGAAGGCCTCTTTGAACCTTCATAACCATCTTAGCAAACAAATGGTCGGGTTTCGGGCACCGCCGAGTTGACGCTTTCAAGTTGGAACACAAGGTGGCCATAAAATCCCCACGAACTCCAGTTCTGGGGCGGCCCATGGTTGCGGAACATAGGGTCCACTTTCTGTTAGGCACCAAGCAAGATCCCCTTGCTGCCTGAGTGTTTTCTTGTATGGGAACCCACATGGGTCTGTCTTTTTGTGAGGGTGGTTTTAAAGGGAAACCAAAAGGACACCACCCAGTTTTGGGGGGTTCAAGCTTAAAAAGACAGACCCATATAGGCCCAACCCCTATGCACCAGGCAGAGCCACCTACTTTCACCCACCGTAAAACAGTAAAACTTTACGGGGATATTGCTGGCACATGGCTAGGAATCTTAGTTGGACGCCCTCAAGAATGTCAGATTGCATGAGTCCCCAATGGCTAAATTTCACATTGAAAATGAAAAGAAAAGGAGATTCTGGGCGCTGCTACTTTGAAATTGCCACTAGACGAAATCCCTAAGGGGTTGAATGTTTTTTTTGCCCTCTTGCAGTGATGGACCTCACCCGCTTTCAATCAGCCTCTCCAAAGGGCAGGTCTCCCAAAATGGGTGGCTTCTCTTTTTAACGCTGCCCAAAAGGCGGTTCCCCCCGAAAACAGAGTCGCTCATATGAACAAGCCATGTTTGATGGTTTATGGAAATTTGTTTAGAGTCGCTCAGGTTTCCCCTCCGAAAAAGACGTGGTTGATGTTGTGTGCTACCACCAAGAGGCCACATCCTCAAGTACTGGTTTCGTGAAAACAACAAGCAGAAGTACTGGTGATCTGACGATTGCAGAAAAATGTGCGAGTGGTGACCATTGCTTGAAGTTTGGGGTAGGTGCATCACCCATTTTAGTAGTCTATTTTAGTGGTTGGATTGAATCGGATGTTTACTGGGGGTGGCCGTGTTGGTACTGCCACCACGTATGCGCACGTAGGTACATATATATATATATATGGGTGTGGGTCCAAGTTGGTCACCAGGGGACCGATGTATGTATATGTGTATGTGTGTATATATATAAATAAATATGATGTCTGTATATCATTGGCGTAATCCGATTGAGAGTTGAACGCAGGTCATGCAACACTTCCAATGTGTAAATATTGACTTCAAACAACGCAAGTATATTTTTGCTCCCCTTCCAACGTCAACCAAGCATCCTCGCGAGTTGTTTCATCGGGGGTCAACATTACCGAGTTGGATGTGAAGGCCGATGGGGGCCGAAAGAGGGTCCCATGGCCCTATGGACATTTGTTTATGGACATTTTTTAATGGAAATTTGTTTATGGACATTTGTTTATTTTGTTTCCCCCCCCCCCAAAAAAAAAAACAAAAGAAGAGAAGAAGTGGTTGATGTTGTCTTGCTTCCATCCCTCGCGGCCGCATTTGTCGTGGCCGAAAGTCCGTCCGACCGAAATCTCATCAGGCGGTGCAGGGCTGCAAGGCGCTGATGGCGCGCCAGGGCTTGCCGCAGCTGGTGGCTCAGGCGGGCGGCGGTCGTCGGGGGTAAGGGGTGGCAAGTGGCCGGGCAACAAGGTCTTGGGATGGTTTGGATGGTTTGGATGGTTTGGATGGTTTGGATGGTTTGGATGGTTTGGATGGTTTGGATGGTTTGGATGGTTTGGATGGTTTGGATGGTTTGGATGGTTTGGATGGTTTGGATGGTTTGGATGGTTTGGATGGTTTGGATGGTTTGGATGCACGTTCTTCCAATTCTTCTTATCCTTGAACAGAATTGAAGGCATATGCTGGCGAAGAAGAGCGCCAGCAAGGCCACTCACGGACAACAAACGCGCGGGAGATAGGGAGAAGCGAGAGAGAGAGAGAGAGAGCGAGAGATAGAGAGAGAGAGAGAGAGAGTGGGAGGAAGGCTGAAGCAAAGGTGCGTAATCTTGGCCCTCAACAGAAGGCCGGGCGGGTTCAACAGGGGTTGGACTTCCTCAAAGGAGCGTTCAAGCAAGAGAACCGAGAGGGTCGTCTTTGGAAGGGTCAATACCCGCCCGTGACTTTGGGACACCGCGTCCTAGCTGGGCAAGCTTATTTTTGGTTGTGCATGTTCAAAAAGGAGTCAAAGGAATGTGGGTGCCCCTTCTAGGCAATGTGTTTTGATTTGGAACAAACGGTTTCGCTTTGCCCCCCTTTCCAGCGCAGCTGGTCTGTGAGCTAGGTCTCAAGCGCTGCCGCTCAGGATCCAAGAGCGCCAGTTGACTCGTCTTGAGCGTTTCGCCATCCACAGAGGCCTAGCCTTGATGGCAATTTGGTTGGATCTTTGGACCGATTCTCCCCGGAACAGCAACCATATGGCAATTTGGTTGGATCTTTGGACTTCAACTTTTCGTTTGAAACAGGCGGGATTCTCCCTCAGACCCGGAAAAGGTGCGGTTCAAATCCCCCAACCGCCCATCCAAACGAGTACCTCGTCACTGGAAGACTCACTCCGCCCTCGTTTGCTTCACTGATCGGCTGCTACCCAAAGTCGCCTTTAAACGGGCCTTTAAACGAGAAAGGTCTGTCAGGGAAGAAACACGGCGACACGCAAAGACCCAAAGAGCCCAAGACGAATTCCCTACTTGGGTGCTGTTGACCCCTCCGCCAAAAGTTTCTCCTTGTGGAGGCGGGACGGGTTTCCACCTACCGACGAACATGGAAGTGCACAGACCCCGGAAACTCCTGTCCTCTGGGAAAGGGGCTTGGTACGCTTCCGTGTTAGTTGGGGGGGTAACCTCCGAACCACTCAATCCAATCCAATCAGAGGAAGCTGAAGATCGTTTCGCGATCCATTGAGCCAGGCCCGGGAAGCGGCGCTGGCGCGCAAGACTGAGGCCGCTGGCTGGGGGGAACAAGGAAGCGGCCTCGTCAGAATGGTCCACTCAGCCTTTGGCGCAGATAGTCCCTCCAATTGGAAAGAAGCCGACGGCTTTTTTTCTGCAGCGATTGCAAAAACTGTTTGCTTTCTCTGTTGAAAGGGCGCTAAGCTATGAACACCCTCTTTGTTACCTCCGCTTTTTGACGAAACAAAAGGCCGCGCCGCGTTTTTTGGCCTGGAAGAGGCTGTGCGCGCTGCGGCCAACGCTCTGGCCAGCGAGGCGGCGCCGGTGACGGGATCCATCTCCGGTTACGGGGGTTGGGGGTGTCCTTCCGTTCGTTTTTCGGGAATCGGTGTAAATGGGTAAATGGCCCAAAAAGTGTGCATCGGTCCATGGGCTGCTGGGGTCCAAAATGGGGAACATGGCAAGTGGAAAGGTGGACTCAGGTAGACGACCTGCGGTTTTGGTCCTGTTTGGTCTTGAGCCACCAAAATCCAGTTTGGAACCCTCGCAAAACAGCTGGACGCTCATCACGCGCGGTTTTGTGGGACGCCCTGTGCAGGAAAACCGATCCGGCTCAGGCAGCTCTTGCACCTGAAATCTTTGGTGCGTTTTGCTAAGGGCTGTTAGGACTTGAACTTGTTGCCAACGAATTTGGGCTTTCCACTAAACCACTCAAAGTTATTCACTTTTAGCGGGGGAGCAGAAAGCAAGCGAGAAATGGTGCTTTCTTCGCCAGGTTTCCCAACAAGGGATTCCAACCGCCTGCCACGGTTTTACAACTGAGGATTCGCATGCAGGAATCTGAAAGTGCAGGGAATCTCAGGGGGACTGAAAATGCGAGCGAGGGAGACCTGCCGGGATACCCCAAACTTAAAGGTGAGGATTGATCAAAGGGTCCTTATTCACAGCGGATCCGTTGGGGGAAACCACCAAAAAGGTGATATTTCAACCACAAAGGGGAAACACTGCATCGTCATTTTGGGCCCTACCCCCCCTCCAACTAACATAGCACCAGACATGGAGTCCCTTGAAGAGGAAAACCAAGCCTCCAGGTACCCTCCCAGAGGTGCCATGTGGAAGGGAGGGTCAGGGAATCTGGCTCAACGCCCAGACATTAAAAACGGGCGCCGAGTCTCGGGCCGAGTTTCGGAACTCCTCGGGCTCCCGAGGTGGGCCCCTTGGCGCACGCCCTGGCGGGCTTGGGCCAGTTGGTGCTCCTGCGTCGCCGCCTCGCCGCGCTGCTGAGGCGAGGGTCAGCCAGAGGTCTAGGGGTTGAGTCCGTGGTTTTTCTTTTCCACCCTCCTTTCCAAAAGCCATTCTTTTTTTTCCTGGGATTCCGGAGCTTTTCTATCATTTGGATCCCTGGGTAGCCTTCTTTCCAAAAAAAGCCGGAGCCGTTTTCCCCGCGATTCCGGAGGTTTTTCTAAGCTTCGGATCCCTGGGATTCCGAATGGAAATTGGTCTCCCTGGGTCGTTATGGGCGCGGAATAAAAATCCGAGGCCTCGGGGTTTGGAGCGGCATGGTTGCAACCCTGCAGGCGGTTCACCACGTCTCACCACCGACTCGGATCCGACAAAAACCAACGAGGGGGAAGCCGATGTTGGGGAAGCCGTGGGGAAACTTTCGCCGAGTTCCGACTGAACGTCAGTTGAGCCCTGGCCCAACCAGACTTCGCCGAACTCCGCTGGAGGAATTCCGCTGAAGTTTTTTTTTCACAACTCCCTCTGCCCAAAGCCTTTTTCACACCAAATCAAATGGTGTTCAAGGCCCGAGGGACGCCCATTGGAGACATGAGTTGCAATCATGGAAGTCTAGGCAATGCTTTGGAAGCCCCTAGGCAAGATGTCCTCAAGCAAGGGGGCCCACAGGAATTCACCCAACCATCTCACAGACGTTTGCCAGGCCGAGTGCCAGATACCATACCAGCTCGCGGGTTGCGTAGCTCGAGGCCCCATGACTCATACCACATGGGTCAAGCGCAATCTGGTGAAGGTGATCGTCCAGTATCCCCCATCCCATCTGCCGCGGCTTGCTTTATGTGGCGAATTTGTCATAGTCATGATTGCAAGTGAGATGCTTGGGCTTGCACGTCATTGTCAAGAGGACTGCCAACCTTTGCTTTGCAGGAATTAAGAAGCAGAGGCTTGAAGTGAGGCTTGCAATCTTTTCCAGCCGCCCCCCCCCCCCCCCCCCCTCTCCTCCCCCCCAAAACCATCCCCCAAACAATCCCCCCCCCCCAACCCCCCACCCCACGCCGCGACGGGTGAGGCTGCGCTGCCGCTTGGGCGCTGGCCTCATCCACGAGTCTTTGGCCGTCCTGGACGGGTCCGCCGAGACCTCGGGGCCTTGAGAGCGCCATCGACTCGCGCAGCGAAAACCGGGGGGGGATCGAGTCACCTGGACGGGGATCGCGTTGCTTTTCTTTTTGTTTTTACATGTGACTTTGGAATGTGCTCAGTCTGAGAAATTGAGTCTCATGTGCAGGTGCGGTCATGCTGACATGAGCAATGAATCACTGTTTGCACGCGGTGTTTGCAGCTCATTTTGGCGCAAAAGTGACGGGCAACCAGCAACTATCTCGAAGCCCAACGATTTGTCCATGTCAATGGAGCCGATAGGAGTTGCCATGATGCTAGCCTTTCTTTGCGTCCATTTCGGATGTGTTGACTACCAGCCAGAGCGCGTGCTGCAGCGTCTCCGCGCCCACCGGACGTTTCAATGCCTGGAGGTTCAGGATGCATTTGATCATGCTCGGCGCGAGATGTCCTGCCTGGTCGGCGGCATCTTTGGTGTGCACGCGGTTGCCTTCTGCATATTGTCATTTGGTTATCTCGCCTACACTCAGCCTGACAATAGTTCTTGGCTGAATTTGCTCGCGATCATGCTTGTGGATTATCCTAGCTTGGTATTTATCAATAGGTACTTCGAGCGCATGTCTGCATTTCACGTATCCTTTGTGGTTTTTTACCAGCAGGCTTGTTTGGTGGCAGTGGTTTTCGTGCTGTCCGGTGGCAAGGGCGGGCTTGCTGAATTCAGCACTGACTCCTTTGTAGCCGCTTGCCGGTTCACCGTATCCCTCATGCCTGTGAACACCAGGTTCAGCGCCCCCACGCAGGTACTTGCCTCCGCGATCACTATCTCGCAGCGGAGCAGCATGGGCTTTGTGGCCTCGGAAATGGTGATGTTAGCGAGCATCGTCTCATTGACTGTCTTCCTGGAGCTCTGTATCAGCTCTCAGATCGAGGCCAAGTTTGAGACTGCACATGCTGAGTCTATGTTGGCAGGTTTTCGCAGGCTGCTCCGGGGTGTTTGTGATGGTGAGGTCTTATTGGACAGCCACCTGAATATTCAAGGAGATGCTCAGAGCCTGAAGCACTTGCTGATGATGAGCACCTCTCTGAATGGTAAATCCTTCGAGCAGTTGTTGCAGCCAGAAGCGAAGCCACGACTGGCTGAGCTGATTGCAACAACGAGCGGTGATGATCCGAAAGCAAGTATCCCACCTTGCCTGCGTGCTTCACTGCGTGGATCCAACGACATTCGTGTGGCTGTGGATTTGTTCCATGTCCCAGTTCACTTGCGCTCAGGAGTTCATCACCTAATCGCCTTTCGAGAAGATGCAGAGTCAAGAATTCCTGACGCCACCGGTGAGCTGCCACACTTCCCGAGGAACAAAGGCAGGACACCAAGTTGCCGGACAGCAAGTTGCCGCTCACCAAGTTCCGTGAGGTCGCCCTCAGTAGCGTCCAGTCGCCGCACTTTAGATGATTTGTACCTACCAGCGTACGAAGCCTCTTTGCTGATTGATACCTCCAGCAAGGTCTTGGACATTTGCCAGGCCCATTTGCGCTTTGAGACCGGGGAATCTGCCGTGCCTAACCTTCGGTCTGTCATCCCCACGTCAGACTGGTACATGGTCAGAGGCATAGTGGAGGCCTATGCTCGAGCCCAGCATGGACCTAAGGAGTTCAAGGATTGGCCCTTGAAATGTTCCGGCAAGCAATTGGTGGCGAGGAAGGTGATACTCTCAAGGGCTTTACCCCCGAAGTTGTGGGTGCAGTTTCGGGAGTTGCAAAATGCAGCCCGAGAGGAGGATACAGCAGCCATCGCCTAGTCTCACGACAGAGCTTTCTCGTCCAAAAAATGCGCCCCAAGTTTGCTCCGAATGCGCCATGGGCTTTGCAACCGGCAGTCATGCTAGGAGAGCTAGCGGAGTACTTGGATCTTTTGGGTCCTAACAGCCTCACATGTGGCAGATAGTGTCTCGTTCCCGATTCGGCATCGCGAAGGGTTCTTCCGGAAAAATCACCTGACAACTGGCAGAGCACGCTTGCACGAGCAAACTCACACGAGCACAAGCGCGCGACCCGACTTGCACGAGCAAACTCGCACGAGCACACTTGCACAAGCAAACTGGCACGAGAGATTCAATTCATTCTTTAAAGGCGGTGCGGTGGGACCGAGCGCATGCGACCAGAGGGATCCGCGGGGCGATGTGCAAAAACTGAGGACTTGTTTGGCTTTTAACCATGCCCGTGCGGCCCTCTGCGCGGATTGGTGTGGTCGGTGTGCAAAAGCTGAGGACTTTTTCTACTTGTTGATCTTCACGCGACCGTTTGCGGGGATCGGCGTGGGTGATGTGAAAGAAGTGGAGTGTTTCACAACTCTTGGCCGTTAAGAACGACCGTTTGTATCCAGAATGACGCGAGCAAAGCAACTTGCGCAAAGCAACTTGCAGAGAGATAGTCGTACAGAGGGCTTGTGCCGAAAAACACTGCATCGAAAACTTGCACGGAGAAACTTGCACGGAGAACTTCGGTAGAGAAACTTGAGCAGTGGACTTGCGCAGAGAAACTTGAGCAGAGAACTGGCACAATGCGCTTGGAGCAGACAGCTTGCGCAGAGAAACTTTTGCGTCGATGCCTTGCGTGGACAAGCTTGCGCAGAGAAAGTTGGGCCAAGAACTTGCGCAGAGACACTTGCGCAGAGATCTTGCGAAGGGAAGGTTGCATGGAGACCTGCCGCAGAAACTTGCAGAGTGACCTTGCGACCTTGCGCAGAGACCACTAGCACACAGAACATGCTTCGCTCACTATATGACGTGCTTCCGGGCCACCCATTCTTCTAGTTCACTTCATGGAGAGTATTGTGGCCTAGTCTTCATGAGGGTCATGAACATGTCCGGGCTAGGCGCGGCCACGCCGCGCGCTGGGCCTCCACCTGCGCAGCTTTCACATGCGCGCACGCACGCATGCGCGGCGCACAGGAGCACGGATCACGGACGCTTGCAGATTCCCCCAAGTGCAACTCTAATCCCTTCCCCTTAATAATACACCCGGACCCCTCCCCTCTATTACTAAATCAGCCTCGGGGACGAAACATATTTATTAATAGGGTCCTTTTGGGTCTGATGGGCCCCCCTGCTGTGCAGTTACGCGTGTGCGCACGTGTGTGTTTGTGTGTGTGTACTTTGTAGTATTACCGTAGTAAAGGAAACGTACTCCCGGAGCTCCGGCTCGAAAATCGCAACTTTGTAGTACGACCTTAGCAAAGGAGACGTACTCCCGGAGCTTGGGTCCTGGACTAATTACCCACCCCCGAATAAGGCTGGGGCTGGTTTGGGTGAGAAACTCGATAGTTTAGTATTGGTTTTGAATTGGCCTATTCTAAAAGTAGTATTGGGGGCCCGGCAGTCGGGGAAAAATAGTATTCATTAATAGGGTCCGTTTATTAAAAGGGGGAACGGATTAGCAGGATCTCTCCATGTCTTTTTGTTTGAACCTTCGCGTTGATGTTTCCTAGGCTTTGGCAGAAGCAGAGGCGGACGAGGAGGCTGCGGAGGCACGGCGAAGAATTCGGGCTGGAAGGAGAAGAGCGGAGTAGCTGCAACCTTGCAGCGGCTTATTCGTTTGTCCTTCAGAAGCAAGCGTGCAGCTGAGAGGTGTTTTGCCAGAGACCCCTGTTTTTGTAACCCACCAAAAAGATCCTTTTTGTTTGGGATGTCCTTCTTACTGGGATTACCTGATTCAGCATTATATAGGTTGTTTCTCCATGTTGGGGGTTTGTTTCATGAGTGAATTGGGGCCTGTGCCCTCGACCAGCGTTTGCCCGCAAAGTGCAAATCATTTTCTCTCATCACGTTAAGGCTATAGCCCAACGTTGGCTTGAATTTTGCAGCTAAAGATTTGCGGCTAGCACACGTCCTTCAGTTTGAGGGCTGCAACCTTGTCAGCGTCATGCATAGCTGGAAGTTCAGGATGGGCTTAGTTCAAACCGTGCAGGTTGGTGGCTGCCAATGTCCGCAGACCTGATGTGTTGCCAAGACGACTATGACAGGTTTGGCTCGCCCGATTTAGCCATCTAGCAATAGACGGAACATTGCGCACAGCCGCGACTCGGATGCTAATAAATGCAGGTTGCAAAGTGCTAACATACTGTCACCTGCCCAGTGTCCCTTGTGACTTGGGCACACTCTCTAATAAGGTCTAAAAGACAGTGCTCGCATGAATGACCGAACAAAATCTCGCTATGTTTTCCTGCCCAAAAAAGCTGGCCAGCTCAAATTCTACGGCAGAAGCACTCCATTTGAACAAGTTGTAACGAGCTCAAAGGTCTGGCTTTACAGGGAAACGAGCTCGGCCGTACCGGGGGGTCCCTTATTTCAGGCTTTTGGATTCTGCAGATTAACGTGGGAACCGCCCAAAACCACAATGTTTAGCTTCTATTTGCTTAAGAACATGTTTATCTTCCCTTGTTACTATTGGACATTTATTGTTTTTCTCCAGGAGGCGAAAAAACAAATGGAGGTTAGATGACGCTTCTTTTTGGGTTACCCTGCTTCACGGACAAAGTTGCCAGGACAAGATGTCCATTTGGTCGCATGTGTTCCTGGCAATTGGTCCATTTGGAATTTTGGTTGCATGGAATGAGCATGGCTCTAGGGGTAAATTCCCCATTCTTTCCAGGGATCCTTCTTTCTGGAAGACCACCAAGAATGGGCAAAATGGCGATCGGTTTTTGAAAAGAATGATGGCTGAAAAGAATGGAAAAGGAATCAACCCCTAGAATTCACTGTGGGAAGCCAATGGTACCATTTTGCATTTTGGGGTAGGTGAATTCACCACCCATACTTGATTTTAGTGGTTGGATTGAATCGGATATTCACTGGGGGCCAGAGCCGGTTTGGCTTTTGAAAAGCCCCTGGAAACCCATTCTTTTCGGTCGCATGGAAACCCGAAACCCGGCGGAGGCGGACGGGCAGCTGCCGAGTCTCTGGGACTTTGTGGGAGATGGCCGCAGCTCGCCCGAGGAGCCGCCGCAAGCGGTTCTCGCGCCAGCGTCTCGAAAGCCGGGGGTCCAGCCGGCCGCGGCGCAAATGTTCGGCGTGGCTCGAAATGAAACTGCTGAAACAAGCCGCAGGTTTTTGGTCTAGCTTTCCATTCACCAGACATTCACCAGGTTTTTGGACCCCCCATTTTTGAGCCACACTCAAATACCGTCTTTTGTTTTTTTTTCTACACGGGGCCGAAGAACTGCGCGCGATTCTCGGGAAAGCGATCAGATCCGGTTTCGACGTGCCCCGACACCCAATTCTGTTGAGGGCCTTTGGCGGGAAATACGACGGCCCTTGCCATAGCCCTGACGCGACCTGGCGGCTTTTTCGGCTGGCCAAAGGCAGACAATTTGCCGATTCGACGACATTCTCCCCGCAAATCCAAATCCGGACCTGAGTGCGCGGTGCAGACTCGCATGGAGATGAATGACAGGCCGCGAGCCAAGGTCTGCCTTGGCTCCAGGAACTGAGAAATCACCAGCACGAACAACCTTAGTTTGCCGTTGTGACGAATAGCTGTTGGCTTCAGGGATTGTTTTGTCCATCCATGAGGTTGTCCAGGAAAACAAAACTAGCCACCCCAACAACGACAAGTACGACCCAGTGGTTCCATATGAAGAATATATAGCAACCTTTTGTGTGGTTGCAGCCTCAAAATGGGTGTTTTGTTTTTACCCTTTGCGGGGTTGGTTTAAGGGACATCCAAAGGAATGCCACCATTTTGGAGGTTCCCTATTTTAGCACACAGCCACATATCAGAGCTTGGGGTTCCCAATCAACTCAGGCTTCCAAGCATCGTGTCCATAATAAATTGCATCTGTCTTTGATGTGTTGCTTAGATGGGTGTGGGTCAAAATTGGGTAACCCCAACATGGAACCGCGGTTCCTCTCCAGGTGTTTTATTTTTGACCCATAAGAGAAGTAAGGGGGTCTAACCACGATTTCGGAAAAACGAAGCACGACAATATTCAAAAGTCAACATATCTCAGATTTCGGGAAGGGGCGTGGGTCCGGCTTTCCGGCGCCGCGGAACTTCGACCAAGTTTTTCGCAAGTTGTTCAAACAATGCGCGTGATTTCAGGAACTGATAAGGTTTTACAGCACACGGGAAGGGCAAATCAAGAGAACTGGTCTACTGTTCCGGTGTCGCGCTCCGCGCCCTCTGCTTCTGTACGCTGGGCTGGGTACTGAATGTGCAGTGGGCATCCTTTTGCCGGGGTGACCAGGGGGACTGAGGATTACCAGGAGGCGCGCGGAGCGACCGGAGGCACAGCAGGCCTGTTCGAGCAAGGGGGCACGGCGCGCAAGCAAACCGCTGCGCGGGCAGGCCGCGGCATGGGATCCCCAGTCTCTAGATTGCGAGATTGACAACCCATCCTTGGTCCTCCAAATTGGTCGTGGCTCTTCGAGTCTTTTTTTGCCGGACCCGCATGCAAGACTCAAACGATCGCCCTGGCGTACTCCCCTTTGCATTTCCGTAGAATGGGTGAGGTTGACCTCCATCCCTTGACAGCCCCACCTCCATGGCTCTGAATTTCAGGGAACCTCCAAAGTCGGCAGACCACCGACTCCAAAGGAAGAAAGGATGTCCACAGGGTCCGAAATCCAAAATCAGAGGGGCCCCCCTGCTCCAACAAAGCAAACAGACAACAAGCAACACCAAAGGCCGAGGCCCCTAAAGGGTGTCCTTTGAGTGGACCTTTGCGGCCCTTGCGACGTTCCTTTTTCGTTCTTCTGTAAACGCCAACCCCAAAAAGGGTCTAAAACCCCCATACTCTTTCTCTTTCTTCTTCTTTTGCCTTTTCTTTTTCAGCTTCTTTTTCCTTTTCTGCTTCTTTTTCTGTTGCTTTCTCTTCCTTTCTTCCTTTTGTCTCCTTCATCTTCATAGACACCTCCCCCCCCCCCCCCGGCTGCGCTCGCGCCGAAACGCGCCGCCGCAGGAGCTCCAGCTGCGCTTCCGCCGGAAGCTGGCACGCACCGGGGAGCTGCCCGGGGCCCAGGATTCGCTCCGCGGCTCCGCGGCTTCGCGGCAGCCGTCAACATGGCCCCCAGGAAAAAACTGGCGGGCGAGGGAAGGAGAAAATGGACTCCCGGAAAAAAAAAGAAAAACTCCTCCCTTCGAAGGTTTTTCCTAAATGGAAGGATTTTTATATGAACCATGATTTTTTGTTGACTCGTTTTTCCTGGTTTCCTTCTTTGGGAATCGATCGGTTCATTCAACCAACACCCGGATCCCCACCTGAGCCACAATCAAAACCGATTCGGGTAGATGAAGGGTAGTAAGGGGAATTTCCCCTTGCCATAAATAGCTGCGGATATCCGCCTTGTTAATTCTTGAAGCATGGTTCTGGGTTCACCATTTTATTGTCGGTTTTGATAGTGGTTCGTTTGGCTATGGGTCAAAACCCCGGTGCCCCGGTGAACACCCAGAACGCCTTAAAAAAAGACAAGAGTGGAGTGGTAATCATCCCCAAAAAGGCACCTTAGGTTTTGACCCACAACCATTTCGCACCTTGGAACCATGGTTGGAACCAAGACTGGGTCCCCCAGATAGGTGCCCTTTCTCGCCCCTTTTTGGTTGGGAGGGTTCCCCTACTACAATAGACCACAGAAAAAAAGTTGGTAGCCTTATTCTAACCTCTCGACTGGAGGACGCAGAAGACGTTTGTCGGTATTTGCAGGCGAAATGGGTTGAAATGATGGTTGCAACCAGAACGTTTACGTTGGGCACCGAATCAGACAATCATTCCAGGGCTTTTTAGAACGGAGCGAAATGGATTTCGCAACCATCCACAGTATTGCCACCAGGAAAATCCGCCCCAAAAGTCGAGTCAAGATGTGTCTATCGGGATTTCAGACACTTCTGGACTCGACTTTTGCCTGGGCAGCATCTACCCAGGAAGTGACTTGGGTGGGTGAAGACCTTAGAGATGTCCTACCCATTGAGTTGGGGGGTGAGGACTTTGCCATTGGCGAGGTCTCATTCCGCAAGGATGTCCAAACTTGGGGGGTCAAAGATCCGGTTGTTTGAGGCCAAAGCATCAATGTGTCCACTTCGCCGCACAGATCCTGCAGATGCCAAAAAAGAAGCTTCAAGCGAGGCGGTGCGAACAAAACAACTTTGAATCTAAATCGCTCCAAAAGCTGAGGCCCCGAAAAACGTCGCCCCAAAAGCTGTAAACCTTGCCCCAAAGGCACCTGGTGAATCTAACGCCCCCCCAAAAGCCTTAGCTCCACAAGTCGAGCGAGCCCGCGCTCCGACGCTCCGAGCTCGCCGGAGGTCCGGGCTTGCAGAGCCCTGTCGACAGCTTCTGCAGAGTGTGCCGGAAGGCACCTGGGCTTCGCGCGTCGATGTTCGGTGTCCAAATGGATGGCTCGTCTTGTTGGGCGCACTTTTGTTTTGGTTGTGTTGAAGGGAACCAAAGGGAACACGGAAATCCATTGGTCTGTTTTGGAGTTGGTTCTTCTTTGGTTTGGTGGTTTAAAAGGAAGAATTCCTCGGTCAAGAGACAGGAAGCACCTTGCGACAGTGTAGTGGCGGTAAAGCAGATGGTCTATGCGTTTTGCCCCAACAATCACATCCAACGGTCAAATTTGGAGCGATGGTTGGGGCACTTACCCAACTGCAGAGCGTTAACTTTGGCCTGGGATGATGTAGTTCAAACACGGCCCTTGGGAACACACGTTGTTTCTGGCTGTCGCGGACACGGAAACCTCAATACTCCGTGATCTTAGACCTGGCAGGTCTGAAGCACAGCTGAGGTCAAGCATAGGTGGCAGGGCATGCTTGAAAGGGAAAAGCTCACTTCTTGATGGGTGACTACGTGTTTGATGGGGTTAAAGAAGGGGCGGTCACCATTCCTTTGAGAGGAATTGATTCGTCGAATCTATACTCCCCCGACGCCCACGTTCACCAGGCTTTTTGTCGGGCTGTTTTGCTCACGTCTGTTTCGTTCAGAGCCCATACCCCCGGTCAGGTTTTTGCACCGGCTCCAAGAAGTGGTCAAGCCTTTGCAGGGGCTTCCTCACCTCCCGAGTTCCGTTTCGGACTTTGGTCGCTTTTTGGGCCTGGTTGCCATTTTGGCTGGCAAACAACAAAAGTTTGGGCCACAAAAGGGCCATCCACTCGATCGGAAGTGACGGGCGATGTAACTTGTGGACATAGGCAGCGCACCGCTGGGCATTGACGCCTTGCTGGCGCTGGCGCTGGTGCAGCACATCGCTACAGCCCCGTCCGTGGCCTCACCCAGCCGCAAGGCAAGGGCGCGCTTGGGGGGGTGAGGTGGGCGAGGGAAGGGGGCAAGGAGGGAGGTGTTCCTCTTCGCACATCAGTTCGAAGGTTGTCAACGGCATGTACTTGTGCGGTGTTCTTTAGGCTGCATTTATGTTATACTGTATTATCTCTTCGGGCGGACGCAGATTCGACGTTGGGAACCCGGAGTGGATGTCAGCTTGGTGTTGGCTCCGCGTGTGGTTTCACATACCAATACTTCACGACACCTGCACGCTGACCGAAGAAAGCACGAAAACAGTGGAGAAGCCTTGCTTCAAGAGACTTCTTTTGGGGTCCCATGTGGGCGGCGGAGTGATCTCCGGGTCAGCTGTGGAATCGCAATAGAATGTCCCAGCAAGTAATTTTGTCCCTTAGTTTGATGCAATCGGGCGGGGTGGAAGGGAAGGCTATTTTGCAATGCTACAGCCAAACGGCAGATGTGCTCGTGGCACCGGGTCTTCGCAAGGGCGCTTGGATGTCAAGGATGCTTGCGGCATCAGGGGGCGTGGGATTGACATGACCAAACGCTGATCAAGAGGATCAATTCCTGCTTTCTTGGGCATCCTGGCATCCTCTATTTTAGCCCGGTCACCTTTGTGTCCGCCACTTTCCGCGTCCTTGTGCGCCATCTTGAATCAGCTTCCGGAGTCTTGAACTTCCTCTTACCCTGATCAGGCTTCAAGTTGATACTCGTGGCTAGCGTAGCCCAGCTGGAAAAAAACGCCCAGCCTTTCGGATTACACACCTGCGGTTGCTGTTTCCCCAGGGCGGACTGCTCGAGGCCGAGCCTGCCATTTTTCCCAGACGCAGAGTCGTAGCCTTTTTCGGCGTTTCGCCAGGCGAAGCGAAGCACCGCCTGGGGAAAGACGGCCGGAGCCTAAGTGGGCCCCCCGGGCGCCGTGGGACCGAGGGATTTGTCGTACTCGGAGCTTGGCATGCGTTCACGGAGGTGTGCGCCTGTCACCTGTCACCTGTGGATGGTGGATTTGTTGACATCAGTTCCCCTCCGGCTGAGTGCGAGGGAGGCTCCGAACAGAAGCACTGCCGAAAGCTACCCGATGGACAGCGGGACTTGTAGGCCGTGCACGTCCTCCAAGGTTCGCTGGGACCTGGTGGTTCTAGTCATATGGGCGTGGGTCGACACCAATGGGATCCCATTTTGGGGTAGGTGAATTCACCACCCATTTTAGAACCTGTTTTCGAGGGGATTGGGGGGGTTCGGGCTTTTGACCCAGTGCCATATGCAAGGAAAGCAGCTGTAAATCGATGACTATTCAAGCTTTTGGCAAATCTTGCAGTGGCACCAGAGGGTGGACTATTGCATATGCATTGCTACCATCTACTTGAACAGTATGAGTGAGGATATCGCCGTTCAGTCTCGTCATGGATTTTTCGTAGCTACTATCAAGAAGGGACCAAAGACAAAGCTGGAGGGAAGCAAATTGCAAGCAAAGGTACTCCCTTTCAGTTTCACATGGACACATCAAGAGGAAAGTTCCAGGTACTCCCCAAGTCGCAACATCCCGAGCAAAGCGCTCGATGAAGCCAAAAACTGGAGACGCGGCTCGCTCCCCTTCTGGGGGAAAAGACCCGGGACCCGGGTTCGCGGGGTCCAAGTTGTAGCAATTCATTTTTCGCAAAGACTGGCCTGAACGACCCCGTTTTGTGGGGGAGCTGCTGTTTGACTAAAGAAAACGGAGGTTGTCGGACACATGACACCCGGTTTCCCTTGCTGGCAAGACCTGCCAGCTCTTACGAACGCTTGCTGCAAACACTTCCTGCAAGCACTTCCGCCAATATGCGTTGTTTTCAATATCAATTAGGCAGCCTTGGTGGACACTATTTGAATGGGCATTTATGTCCACCAGCCATTTTAGAGGATGTTCCCCTTCAAAGTAATAGCCAAATAGACCTCCCACCTTTACAGACTCTTTTGCGGCAAGGAGCACGATAGCTGAAAACGGAATTTGTACCCTCACTTTGTGCAGGGTCAATTGTCGCATTGGGCTCCGAGACAATTTGACTGGGCGGCATTTCCAACTCCACTTGCACTACACCTGAGGTCAGCCGGCCTTTTCCAAAAGGGACACGTGTAGGTGACACCGGACTCCCTTCAACATTTGCCAAGGTTTCCGGACGGTTTGCTCTCATCGGAGACCCAGAGTCTAGAGTTTGCCACTTCCACTGAGGTCATTTGACTGTTTCTGGGGGTTGACTGGGTTATTTGGCAGTGGCTCAAATAACGGTACCCAACAAGTCACAAGGACTAAACCCTGCGAAACCCCAGCTGTTTCACATTTTGAGCCACTCCCATTTCTCTTTAACTCAAACAACTTTTTGGGAAGACCATTTTAGTGGTAAACAACAAGTTTGGTTTCTTTGGGCCATCTACTCCGTGGGAAGTGAGTTCACCCAGCTCTTGCGGTAAAAAAAAAGACCGGCCTTGGAGGAAAGTGGAATGAGGTAGCACCAGCCCCTAGTGGCAGCCTGCGCAGTGGCAGCCTGCGCCAGGAGGCTCGCGTATTCGCGGATTCTCTGGCAGCGCCTCACGAGAGACAAATCCGCTCGCGTGATGCCGTTTTTGTGAAAGTAAAAAAGCGTTTTCTGTTCGATTGTGGTGGCTGCCGGCCTTGCAACTTGGGGTGAATGCAAGATTCATTTCGAGATGAATTCGAATGCGCGGCATGGGAAGGGAGGAAATGATGAGACAAGAATTCGGGTGCTGCATGACAGATCCTCAGTGCGTTTTGGTCAAGGTTGCCGTTGAACAGTTTCAGGTGCTTGTGACAAGAGCTTTGAATGCAATCAGAAGCAGCCATGATTCAATTTGCAAAACAATCCCACCCATTGCAGGATGAGTTTGGTGAAATCTTTGCAATGTCCGTCGATAGGACTAAACTTTGCTTGCTATTCTGTTGACATTCAACTTGCGAATACCTCCGAGCTGGGTTTCCGATTTGGCTCCATCTCAAGACACTTTTGTTGCAACACTTTTTGAAGCCCATCGAGAGCGACTTGGTTTGTTCGAGTCTTGCCCCCAGCACACTGCTCGCAACGTTCCTTGGCGTTGTTGGTGGCCAACATTCGACAAACCGCACAGGGTTTTGGTCGTTGCCTTTGTCATTCTTTGCATGTCAGCAAAGGCTGAACAGGCGTAGGGCGTACTAGCAGTTACTAGCAGGCATTGGTTGCTGCCGTGGCAATGTTGGTACCATGATTCCAACATGCACAACGAGAGTTGGTAGGTGTATTTTTGTCACAGGAGGCCACCCAACATGTTCTACCCTTTATTGCACACACACACACACACGACACAAAGTTGGGGTGCCAAGCTTGTTGAGCGCGGAAGCGGCTTCATTTGAGTGGTTTACGACCATAAGGGCGACTCAGCATTTCGGTCCGCTGGCAGCCTCATGGCTGTGGGTCAAACCCAATGGTACCATTTTGGGACCCATTTTAGTCTATTTTAAAAAGGGGATTGGGATGTTCACTGGGGTACGGGCGTTTGACCCATGGCTAAATCTTCGTTCAATGCTTTCCCCACTAGCGGAAACTATTTGTCAGAAGCATGTACCTCCAGGTAGGCTCATCCACTTCTCACACGGAAATAGCAGGTTGTCCAAAAGCAAATCCGCCTTCGCGAGGTTGTTTGCCAAAAGCTTGGAGGGTTCCTCAAAGGATTTGGCTCAATTGAACCGTCACTTTTTTGCTTATTTGAGGAGGATCTCCTTGTAAAGCAGTTGGATTGGGATGGTTCTGTATGTATCCTGTCAGGACAATCCTGTCTACTTAGGGGCATTGTGCTTAGTAAGTGGTTGGTAAGCCTGGTTGCCGGTGATTTCACCAGGCTTACTAACCACTTCCCTGGCGTACCGAATCGATCGCCGCTTTGAGACACTGTGGATGGACGCAACCCGAATCGATCGCCACCGAAGACACCCTGGAAAGATTCGATTCCCCTGCACATGCCAACAAACGTTATGATTTCAACCGTTCCGAAAGTGGTGCGAGATGGATTTCGTGCATCCACAGTATCATCCAGGTTATGTCCAATGTCATTTTGATGGTTGCTGATTTTTCGGGGACCATGTGGGGGTTGATCAACATTCCTGGCCCCCAAATGACCATGGTAACTTTTCCTAGTGGTTTAAGTATCCATCTTCTTGGGTGGTTTCCCAGCCAATGGTCATCCCATGCTTTCAGGGACCTTTTGGCCAACCCCCCCCCCATACCTTGCCTTTTTTAGTCACACTGCGGTTTTTTGCTGGTCATCTCTAAAGGACCTGTTTCTTTTCTTTTTTCGCCACACCCATCCTGGCACCCGCAGGTTTTGATCCATTCCACCTAGGGTTCCAGTGCCAATTTTTGAGCAGCCAGAGGGCCATGGGTTGCATCACCTATGGCGATCCCGTTTTGGGGATGAACATCCGTTTGCCACCACTTTTGTTCACCAGGGACCCGTACGGAGCTGTGACCCACGGCCGTATGTAAAACCCGGCCACACCCATGGCAGCTTCCACGGCAAATTTCTCGGCCTCGTGTCCAGGCGCACGCGGGCCTCGCCGCAGGCCTCGCGGCGCTGCTGCAGCAGTTGCCGCGGAAGGTGCTGCAGGGCACGCGGGGGGACCCGGCGATTTTTTTTTTGGGGGGTGCCATGGACACGAGTCGATTTTGCCACCAAGAAGCCTAAAAAACCAATACCCTAAAAGAAGGAGGTTGCAAAATAGACCCTAAGTGTCACCATAGGGGGGGGGGCTCCAGGGGTCGTGATAGGGAAACATGTTCTCGTTTCTGGGGCCCGGTGTCCTCCATTTTTTTGAGGGGGAACCTCCCAAAAATGGGGGTGGGTCAAAAATAGTGGGTAACCCCAAAATGGCTTGCCCTGCGAAATGGAGACAAGGACTAAAACCTGCGGTTTTTCGGTGGCTTAGTGTTGACCCATACCCATGTCGGTTTGGCACCAAATGGGGGAAACACCCTCTCATTTTTGCGGCCCGGTCTCCCATATGGTTTCCTTTTGGTTTCCTTTTGGTTTCCTTTTGGTTTCTGGTTGAAGCCAGAACAAGGGGCACCAACTCCAAACAACGAAAGACCCAAATCAGGCAAGAATTCCAGCTCAGGACATTTTCCCCTCACAAAGCCCAAATTGTCCAACTTCCTTTTGGGGGAACAATGACCAGGGCTCAGATATGAACAGACATGTACTGTCATCTGCTGTAGACGGGGGCCAATGCCACTCCAAAAATATCAGGAACTGGGGTCTTACCGAATTCCCATATCCAAGGGGACGCAACAAGTATTGACCGTCGCTCACAGATTACAATATATATATTTTTATAAGCACGGATGCAACGAAATGCAACGCATTGTAGCGTAATGGAATGTAACGTAATGCAATGCAATGCAATGTAATGTAATGCATGCAATGTAATGTAATGAAACGTAAATGGAACTGTAAATAATATGAAATGTAATGTAATGTAATGTAATGCAATGCAATGCAATGCAATGTAATGTTACGTACTGTTATGTTATGTTATGTACGTCTGTGAGCACGTGCGTGGGTGTTTGCGTGCATGCGTGCGTGCGCACGTGGTGCATGCGTGCGTGCCTGCGTGCGTTCCTGCGTGCGTGCGTGTGTGCTGGCGTGTCTCTGTGTCTATGTGTCTCTGTGTCTCCGTGTCTCTGTGTGTCCGTGTGTTTGTGTGTCTGTGTGTCTGTCTGTGTCTGCGTGTCTGCGTGTCTGTTTGCCTGTGTGCCTGTGTGCCTGTGTGCCTGTGTGCTTGTGTGCCTGTGTGTGCCTGTGTGTGTCTGGGTCTGTGTCTGCTTCCAAACGGGTACCCGTTTGGGATGGCTTTCGAGAGAAACCAATCGGAAACGGACAATTTTGGAGGACCTGCTTTTTTGACACATACCCAAATGCCATATCATTATATCCCTGTTTGGGTGATTCAAACCCATGTGCCAATGTTTCCCTTTTTGTGAGATGGCCCGAGTTGTCCTCGGGTGACTCAGGGCTTGGGCTAGTCACAAGCCAACCTCCTGGATCGAAAGCCTAAACTGCCTCACTCCGAGCGCCGCAAGATTCCCAATCCTTGACGCGCCCGCTCAAGACCACGCTGGCAAGCGCGAAATGTGTTCCAGGGGCCGTTAGTTCTCCCTGTTGTTGCGATGGCTAGTTGCAGTCGGCTGCTGTTCCTGTAGACTCGCGCATGAAAGTCGGGGTGGGACTGATCGCAAGAAGGTCAGCGCATTTCCCGGGATGCTATGCAATATTCCCTTCCATTTGCTGAATTGAACATTTTACATGTTCCCTTGTTGGTTTTAAAGTGAATTTATTATTGGACATATTTTTTACTTATTTCCAGGGAGCTTAAATGGAAGTTCCACTTTGCGCAAGTGCAGCTAAGGAAGGCTTTCGTGGTCCAGAGTCCAGGGTTTTGAAGGCTCCGGCGGCTCCAGGGGAAAAGGAACCCAGCAGGGCTCCGAAGAAAAGATCTCCATTTTGCAACCATTTGAAACATGGCTTTGTCAACACCAAAATAAAGGGAAACCACCATTTACAAGGCAATGTTCAGTTCATTGTTATTTTTATTTTTTTATTTTTATCCCTGCCCGGTGATGCCATTGTAACCTCTTGGACCTCCAATTCGAGCGTCCCAGGTTTGAGCTTTGCGGCTGCTTCATCCAGGGCCTCTGCGAGGGCCAGGCAGGACATGCCCGCGCGCACAAAAAGTTCAGCGGGGCTCCGTTTGAGAAAAGTGGGTGTGGGTCAGCCTGGCTGTGGGTCACCCCAAAATGGCTTGCCCTGGTAAATGGGACCCAGGATTAAAGCCTGTCCCCTGGTGGTTTAATTTCGACCCACACCGGCTCTCTTGTTTGTTCCCCCCGACAAACTTGAATGAACCACCAAAGAAGGCTCGTTTTTCCGCATCTGGGCATGTAGGCCAAGATGGCAGAGGCCGGTATTCTGACTCCAACCGCACCCCCACAAGCCTTGAGGGATCTGGCAGGACCGTTGAGCTCGAGCGATGCCAAAAGTGGATGAAGGCATGTTTCTTGGCGGTTTTCAGCCATCCCCCGGTTTTCAGTTTTTTTGGGTTTAGTGGTTGGGTTTCCATTTAACCCACCAATAGACCAGTGAAGCTTTTAGCTGAGGACGGCCCAGGTTTGTCGAGGTTTCTGATTTGAGGAAAGGACCGGCTCAATCCCCGCTGATGCCCCCGCCCAGAGCGG